GAGCAGATCGCCACAGTCATCAACCCACACACCGACATCCTGCCCAAGCTCATCCACTTGCTGAAATCGGCAGAGTTTGAGGTCAGGAAGGAGGCTGCCTGGGCCGTCAGCAACGCCACCAACGGATCGTTGTCTGTAATCTCGGCCATGGTCAAGGCCAACGTGCTTGAGCCCCTGTGCGAGCTGTTGAAGTCCACCGACTCGAACCTGTTGAAGGTCGTGCTGGAGGCCATCGAGAACATTCTCAAGGCCGGCCAGGAGCACGCGTCAAAGACTGGCGCCAACCCATACGTCGACCTCATTGAGCAGTTTGGTGGCGACCAACAACTGATCGAGCTGCAGAATGTCAAGAACAAGGATGTCTACACCAAGGCTCAAAACATCCTCGAGGACTTCTTTGATGTGCAAGCCGACGACATGGAGAACACCGAGCCAAACAACATGGGCTCCACCTTCAACTTCAACGCTCCACGTACCAACGACATTATCTTCTAAGGCCCGCCGTCCACTCACATACACAAACACAGCACACTTGTTGGAACCAACTATATATCATCCCCAAGTCCACCATGCATGCATTAACATGTTGTTGTCCTGGCTTGGCCTAACAAGCCCTGCCATGGACCACATATGTTGATTGATCAATCCATCCAGACCCGGTGCAATAAGATTGCATATCGGCTGGGCTCAGTCTATTCCCAACATTCATTCATTCATTGTACAAACCTAATTTCTTTGTCACCATCAATCTATTATTAAACTACATTCATTCATCATCACACTACACGACTCATCATACCAATCAATCATTCTTGAGAAGTAGTCACGAAACACGTCAATGAAATAGTCGACTGACTCGGAGTGAGTATGGTCCACCAATATATAAATAGATGTGTTTGATTGGCAATCACGAATCACATTCAATCACATGGCCCACTAGGTCAGCTGACATGATCAATCTGATAGTGATCCTGGAACATAAAACTTAAAGTTTCCTTTCCAAGACCAAATTTGTTTCCAAAATTTATATATTTTTGGTTGGTTGGGAACCCCCTGTTTTTAACCAAAAGTCTAGGTGGGCCTACTTTCTGACATCAGTGTCTGCCCAACCTTTAATCACAATCGCCCTACATTTCAAACACACACACACACACACACGAAACTCAAGCCCCCATTACCATCCACACAAACACAACATAAACACACACATACACACACAGACCAACACAATCCATCCATCACATTCCTCCTCATCTTCCTCATTCAATCAATCAATCGATCACACCTACATATTCACATACTCACACCTATTCCAACCAAAGTTGTTAGTTGATGTTGTTTCTTCCCTCTTTGTTGGATTGTTGTTGTTTGTACAGATACATAACGCTATAACTCTATTTTAGAGAAATAGACAGAGACTCTGGGCCGTGCCTTCATCCTCACTTTATCAATCACCCAATATCAATCAATCAATCAATCAATCAACCTTATATATATAATCAATCAAACAGCAAACATTGTGTAAATACCAATCATGTCATTGCATGAAAGAGGCGACAATGATATAAATATGTAAGGTTATCTCAACATGATCATGTGATCAATGAATGAATGAATGAATGATACTAACTAACAATGAATGAATGATATAGATTGAACGCATATATCTTAGACTATCTTCACAAGAATAACTTTGTAAATAGTTATTCAGCTTTCAAAGCAGAGGTAAAGATACCTGATATAAAGGTCACAGATGGCAATGCTCCTGGCTTCTTATATGAATGGTGGACTGTCTTTTGGAGACACTACAATTCAAGACAACAACAGCATCAGCAACAGCAACAGCAGCAGCAGATGATGATGCTGGGGCATCAACCCATTGGACAACAGCAGCAACAGCAGGCTAACATTCCAGACAACAACACCAAGTCCTACATCGACCTTGTCAGCCATCATCGACAGATGCAGCTACAACATCAGCATCAGCAGCAGCAGCAACAGCAACATCAGCAACACCAGCAGCAGCAACAGCAGCAACAGCAACAACAGCAACAGCAACAGCAACATCAGCATCAGCTTCAGCTTCAACAGCAACAGCAGCAGCAGCAGCATCAGCAACAGCAACAGCAAATGTACATCAATCAACAGCATCAGATTCAATCACCTGCTGGTGGGGCGCCACAGACACCTGGGTCGTCAGTGCCTATCAATGCTCAACAACCATTCCCCGCGCAATACAATCATCAACAACCTCAACCGCCATCACAGCAATCACCTCGCACTGGTGTCGTCTCACCGGTCAATGTATTTAACTCTGCCACAACTACTCCGCCACCATCATCTGGCGTCCCATTAACACAACAGCAACAACAGCAACAACAACAACAACAACAATATAACTATATGGTAGCCAATGGAACTGCATTGCCACTTCATCCACAACAACATGTGGACCCAACAAAGATGGGTGTGGCGCCGGGTGTCCCACCAGGGGCACTCCGGCCTCCAGTCACCGCAGCGGGCACACCACTGAATCCTCAGATGCAGCAGCCCCCAGGAGGCGTGCCACCATATCCAGGCTCGCAGGTCAGGCTGCCCATCGGATACCCCAATGCTGGCGGTGTTGTCAACCAACAACACGTGCCATTCCCAGCATCCGTGCAGCAGCAGCCGCCAACCGAGACCAAACCGAGTAGTCTACCATCACCCAAAACCGATCCAACCGAACACGACCCAGCCAAGGTAAGTCAATCAATCAATCAATCTCGCGACCAAACATCGCTCACTTACTCACCCACTCACTCATTCAGAGCGCCACAAAGGCACAGGTAAAGGGCTCGCCACTTAAGAAGAGAAAGCCCTCAGAGGACTTTACAAACAGTAATGCAGCGGCAACAATTGCAGCAACGTCGACACAAGTACCAGGACAACCGCCAACAGGAATGGCCATGTCACATCCTCCACCTGTTGGCGCAGCGACAATGATGCCTCCACACGGAGCGATACCCTCGCAGATGCTACAGCATCCAGGCCACGGCATGATGATGCCACAGGGCGTGCAGAGGAGACAGTCGCACGAAGCACTCTATCAACAACATCCCAACAAGTGGGCCATGCAGCCTGGCCCTGGCTACATGCCAGGCAACCAGAACTACATGATTGTACAGAATGGACAGCCGACGGGCATGTACTATAATCCGGCATACATGATGCCGGGCGTGCCGATGCACTCTGGCTCGCCACCCGCGCCATATGGTATGCCGCAGGGTGTGATGCCTCAACATCCAATGGTGACACACAGTCCGCCAGTGTCGTCACCTCACATGATGCCGACTCCAATGGTTGGCGCACCAAACACCTTCCCCAACGCACCACCTCCTCTGCCACCCCAAGCTGCCGCGCCACCACCACCATCATCAACAAGCACCACAACCGCCAAGCCCAAGCCTCGCTCTCGTAAGTCTTCATCATCGGCCGATCAAACTGAGTCGGCATCCGACGCAACTGCCACCGCCACCGCAGCTAAGACCAAGTCGACGAGAAAGAGAAAGAACTCAACGACGGACGAGCCAAAGGCCAACGGAAAGACGCAACTCAAACGAATTGGCAACATCGAATCACCATCACTACCCCAACCATCGCCATTGCAGACGGACGTACCGTCGACGCCAGCCACGAACGAGCAACCATCACCATTCACACCATCATTGCAACCACCTCAGTCGCCCGCACAGCAACAGCCGCCTCACCTGTCCTACAGCAGTAGTGGCGCGAGTGTGTCCCCACAGTCGACCAGTCCAAGTGGCAGCAATAACAACATCACCAACAGTACGCTTAACGAACAAACCAAGATCAACACGTCCAGCTCCAGCAGCAGTCCACTGAACATCCACAACAGTGGCAGTGGCGTAGGTGGCAGCAATGGCAACAACAACAATGGCAACAACAATAACAACAATAATGGAACAATCCAATCACCCGAGATCAATTCAACAAACACAACAATGCAGACGTCCACCTCAGAGAGCAGCCCACCACGAACCGGCGCCTCCGCCGCCACCACCTTTTCGACCAGTAGCAGCAGCAGTCCCAGCCAGCAGATGACCATGCCGCTCGAGTTGCCTGCGCCTGCGCAGCCACAGCCCGATCTGCAGTCGGCAGCATTCTCGCCACTAATCTCTGGACAGCAGTTGCTGGACAACATTGGCGGCTTCAATCAGGACAACTACGCTTTCAAGACCTTCACATCACCCTACATAAATGGACAACAAGGTGGCATTGGTGGACAAAACTATTTGAACGAAGACATGTTTAATGAGCTACGTAAGTCATTGCATTCATTCAAATGGTATGATCATACTAACATCACGAACAATCAATCAATCAATCATTGTACAAACACAGAGACCAACTTTTTAGATTGATGGATGACTCTAACTGCCACTTGGACATTCAACGTCATGTATCCAACCGTTCAGGCTCAGTCAATAAATCAATTAATCATTCAATCAATCAATCTTGGAAGGAAGTTCCAACTCGAATTCCAATGACCTAATATATACATTATCTTCCAGGTTGTTGTTAAAGACCCGCATCAATGAACATATATTACCTTCATTAACAGATAGGAGTCACAGAGACAGATAAAGAGATAAGAGTTAATAATGGGATCATCATTATCATATTCCTTTTATAAACCTTATGTACACGATGAATCGTCATCATCAATTGGTAACATTGTTTCATTCCCCTCTTCAAACTTGGATGACAATAGAGCTGGTAATGTCTATATTGGCCGCTTCGACATTAGAATGAACCAACCTACCCAAGACTCCAAGGACTCTGATTTCAAATATTTCCATTATGTACTCATCATTGATGTTGCAGGCCAGTCTACTCCTGATATTCCCAGAGGTCTAGTTCTCCATATCAGTGCTGTAAATGGAGGACAAGTTAAATTCTTCACCGCAACTATAGATGGCCCTGAGGACAAAATAATTGATTATCACCTACTTGGAAAGATTAATAACTATCAATATCCTAGACGACCAGATTACTGGGTAGTTGATATTATTGCTACTGTAAAGGATAATTGGTTCCCAGAGTATATTATAGCCAAAGGCGAGACCTGGAGCGAACAATCCAACTGCCAACAATTTGTTCGATACCTTGCATTAAAGTTCAACCTACCCTGGCCCGCCAATGTTCAGGTGATGGAAACACAATAGTACCAATAATTGTTGACCTAGACCAACTAGAATCCAAATGATCATTTGAGTTGATAATAAACCAAACTAGTTTGATTGATCTTCACACTAAACACAAGAAAACGAGTTCACATTCATTCATACAATTACACTTAATCAAACAGTCAATCAACATTTATTCAACATATATACAGATATATAAGATGAGCAGCAAGTCAGACCCAAGAAGACCACCAACAGCAACATTCGATCTGCGACCTCAGCTAACTCAAACTGAGAAGGAGGCTGCTAACTTGGACTACTATGCGCTACTATGTTTCATGTTTGCCTTCATTGGTATCATTGCAAAGGTACGAACAAGACAGAGATAGATAGGATAGCAACAACAAACAACAACATCAACATCAAACAACTTACACGACAATTCAATCCATCGATCAATCAATTGAACATACTCACAGTATAAGATAGCATTATGGATATCAGTTGTTTGCTGTGTCGCCTCGTTGGCTAATATGAAGTCTGCAGAGAGTGGAGTTAGAGCTGTTACATCAACCGTCAGTCTATGTCTGATGGGTCTGGCAATGGCCTACTTTGGACCAAACGCTCCATACTTTGTGTAATAAAGAAGATTAAGAATATAGGTTTATACATGTATAACTTTGATCGATCGATTAATGATGATGATGTACATCATGTCCAGCATGTTGACAACCTGTTTCGCTGCTGTTGGCGATGATAGGCTGCTCCTCAGGCTCGTCGTGAAGTGCGTATTGTAGTTCTTCCAGTGTCTCATTGATACTCAGCACACATTGATTGAGCTGTTGTTGACATTGATTGAACTGTTGTTGACACATCTCAATATGTTCATGATAACAAGATCCTGCAGCTATTGGCATTTCATACTCATTACCATTCTCATCCTTCTTTGTTGCTGTATTCGAATGTATCTCTGTCTTTAGTATCTGGTATTGTGTAGTCTGTTTGTTTATGGTTAGTCATCACCATCATCTTCAGTCTGTGAATGATTGATTGATTGAATGAAGGTAAGGTACATACTAGGATGAACTTTGCCTTCTCTTGCTCCCTCATGAGGTTGATCTTGTCACTCCAAGCTGGTCTGAGTGGCCTCAGTGCATCCTCAATCTGAATGACCTCCTTTGATATCTTTGACATCATAGTGGACATGTTTGAGCATAACGTCTGATACTCTTCAAGTTTGTTATCCTCTAAGTACTGTTTAAAGCCACTGATTGATTGATTGAAGATGTCAGTGACATCATTCAATATACCTGAACAATGATATATATATATATATACTTACTTATTGAACCTTGTATATAGTGATGCACGTTGTGCTTGAGCATTAAAGAATAGAGTGAGCATATCAGTTGGAGACACTGTCTTTAACAGTTCACCAAACTCCACAACAGTGTCTGCACTGATCTTAATGTTACTATAGTCCATTATATATTGTTATATCTCTATTGTTGTTTTATCTGTTTGTTTGTTTGTTTGTTTAATGAATGAAAGTTGACATGTGATGTTCATCCAATCAATATTTGTTTGATTGGTTCTGAGAATGTAGTAGTTTGATCACATTTCAACATCATGTGGGATGATTCCATTTCAAGTTCATGGGATTGTCACTCAACATCATTCATTCCATTCATTCAATCAATCAAAGAGATATTAGATAGTTGATTGATTATCCTTTAGACTCAAGATCTCGATTTTAAAAGTTAGATATCTAGGGTTGAACCAAACGATGTCAGTTGGGGTTGTCACTTGGTTTCCAAAGTGAATCAAGAATGAATGAATCCTTCAAAGTCATTTCAATCATTCACCTGGATCTAGGGCACATTGTTATACATACTACAACTACATTTGTATCATTACAACTTACAACAAATATCAAATAACAATGTCATCATCAGTTCCAACTGGCAACAACACCAACAACAACATCAACAACACAAACAATATTAATAATAATGGATTCTATAATAGACCAATGGTTATGATGAGTTCTATTGGTGTACCAATGGGAGGCTTCATGAATATGAATGATATTACCAATCATAATATGATAAATATGCATCAGATGTCAATGATGCATTCACAGAATGGTCAGATGCTTCAACAACAATGTCTGTTCCAACAGGATGCCATGCAGATGCAGATGGATCAACAACTGAGACAAATGCAAATGGACACCAACAATCTAAWTCAATCAACTATGTCCTCCGCCCGCGCCCATCTCCTACGACGACATGGACTTTCTGAGTGGCGGCGGTAGTGGTAATGGCTTGAACCCCGGCTCACAGCGACTGACCGAGACACCCTACATGCCCTCGCCAACACTATACACACCATCATCGCCAATGATGCCATTCTCCCCAATGTCATCGCAACAACAACAGATGCGCGAACAACAGATGAAGGAGAGAAAGGAGCGCGAGCAGAAAGAGAAGGAGCAACAACAGGCCAATATAGCAACGGTCAGATTACAGATGCAGCAACTACAACAACACAAAGAGTTGGTCAAGCCCACTGGCGAGGTGGTGGCCGTCGTGGACATTGAGGTGACGACGGTCGAAGGTGTGGTCTCGCCCGCACCAGATGCAGTACAGATACAAAAGGAGTTACAGGAGGCCAAACGAATGCTTGAAGAGGAGAAAGAGAATACATTATGTTCAATATGCATGGATCGCAAGAAGGACACCTGTCTCGACTGTGGACACATCTTTTGTCACGAGTGTATCTCGTGGCTTGGTGGTCGACACCTCTGTCCCATCTGTCGCAAAGAGTTCAAGACTACAATCAAGCTGCATCTGTGATCGAGTCATATGCTTTAATAGGCCATAGTGGATGTAATAAACGATAATGTACATTGATTGATTGATTGATTGACTGATCGCCTGGCCTCGAGGATGATGACGACGTGTTAGTATGTTGGGAACTTGATGTCAAGGTATGGAAGTGTCTCAGGAAGGTTTCCAGTGCTGTCGATCATGCGAGAGAGGGCAATGACATCGCTGAGTATCCAGACTAGTCCTCCACGTCCTTCAAAGAGTGAGTTGGGATGGTCGGGCGTCTTGAGTTGCTCAAGGAAGTCATTGTTGCAGCATAGTTTGAGGAACTCCACGCATTGATACAAGTACTTCTTGTATCTCGTGTGCATGTAGAGCAAGAGGAATGAGTAGGCATTGCCCGAGATACCGTGGCACAGACCAACGCCCTTTGTCAGGACGCCGTAGGTCCAGACGGCCTCGCTGGCCATCTCAGCGCGTGCCAGGTAGTCATTGGTCACGCGGAATCCTCCGTCATCAAAGAAGGTGGCCGCACGTAACAAAGTTGGGATGACGCCAGGCGCGCCATGACACCACTGCATGAGTCGATCGTGTTCATTCTCTGGACGTGATGGGTAGTTGCCTGAGGGCAACTGACGCTTGCTTATAAAGTCCATCGTGCCACGGATCATACTGACGTGCTCCTCGGTCTTTAACTCGGTGGGGAACATGTCCAGCGCCTCCATCAGCTGATAGAGTATGCCACTGAGACCGTGTGCACCGCCAAGGTACTGGGACTCATGCCACTCGTACATCAGAGGCGATGCAGACTCCTTTTCCTCGGAGAAGTTCTTGCCATGTTTGATGATCACATTGACCAGCTCGACGATGCGGCCATTGAGCATGCGAGTGTGTTCCTTGGGGATGTATCGCTTGCAATACAATAGACACTGGAGATAGCCAGACTTGCCATAGAGTAGCTCATGCGGGTACCATGCGGCCAGTTGTGAGATTGGACCAAACTGGCCCAACAACTTGTTTAACATTGTTGTGCACTCCTCTGTGTTTCCTTCGTAGAACATTATGATTGCGCCCACTGTAAAGACACCATGACGTCCTATCAACATTGAGATATCTTCATAACTAGCCTTACTAAAACCATCCGATTCCAATGCCTTATTATATAACTCTCTAGCCTTTGTCAACATCTGTCTATTTGTTTGATCCAAGAAGTATCTATGCAAATAAGTCAAAGCAGTTCCAGCCAATCCATTATATACATCCATCAACCTATGTTTGTTTGTTCGTTCACAAGCATTAGTGTATGTCTCTCTTTGTGTCTCTCTCCCTAACATAACATACTTGAATGATTGTTGGAATGATATCTTTGTCTCATTGCGTGTCAGGGTATCTTTGAACAACTGGATTATTTGTGGAGTAAAGAATGTATTTGTTTCATCCCATCCATTAAATGCAACCAATTCATTTGGTATAAATCTATCTTCGTCTTCCATATGTTATATTATCTATTGTTGTTGGGTCGCACTACACTAATGAATGAAAGATCGACACAATGGATCCTCGAGGACTTAAATCAAATGGTACCCGTGACTTTTTTTGAGATTCTTTGAAGTTGGCCTTTGTATACAAAAGTTGTTCCCTGGTTGAGGGATCAACACAAATAAGCACAACATGAACATTTCAGTTCATTGCATAATTAATAACTTCATACTTATTACTTCTTACTTATTACATATTACTTATTACAAAAATGACTACATCACAAGAATCAAGACATATTCTTACTATTCAACCTATATCATTGTCAGCGGGAGGTGCTTCACCTTTTGTATTTCATACTACAGGATCACATGTTATTGGAAGAGATAGTGTACATAATATATCAGATGCCAAATGCTCTCGGAAACAACTACAGGTTGTGATGGATGACTCTGCAAACTACTTCTTGGTAGCTGTATGTATCAGCTGATCATTTACTCATTCACTCAATCAATCACTCACAGACTCACTCATTCATGCATTCAATCACTCAAATGACAGACTGGAACCAATCCATCATATATGAAGAAGTTTGATAAAGATTACTTTATACAGGTATGTACACACCATTGTTGGACGGAATGATTATTGATTGACTATGACTAATGGATGGATGTTACATTAGATGGTGAATGGACAACAATACATTTTGGAAGACAGTGATCAGTTCTCTTTGTTGTATAATCAGAGTATATATAGAGTATCAATCATGGCCAATCCAGACTTTGATGAGAGTACATTTAAGCGTCAAGCAACTGATTCTGCGCCAACAACTACAAAGAAGTCCAAGCTGGATCAAGAATCTGACCTTCCAGTTTGTCAACATGGACAGAAATGTTATCGCAAGGTAAATTGTTTGTTTGTTTGTTTGATTGATTGATTGAAATGATCCACCCACTGACACCGACATCTCCAACATCTGAAGAATGCCGAACACTTTAAGGAGTTCTCACATCCATGGTTAAAGCT